AAGTGATGACCGTCCTTCCCCCCAGCCCCCTTTTCGGCTTTTGTGCCACATTTGTACATAGCACAATAAATAATGAGGAAGGAGAGATTCGAGACAGAGAAGTTCTTTTTGGTTTTTACAGTTTCTTGTCTGACCGTGTTAGACGTTTATTCTGTCTTTCAGAGGATTATTTTTGAACTTTTGACTGCCTTAATTTAGCTAAGTTTTGATTTATTTTTACCATTTTCTAACGTTACTTTTTGACTTTTTTGTTAAATTTTCATTTTTCTAACGTTCTTTTTTTGACCATTTGATTTTTTCCTTTTCATTTTCTTTCCTCTCTTTACCGTTACTTCATTTTGTTATTAGTTATTTCTTATTTTATTTTATTTTTACCTTTTTTTTTTTTCCTTGTTAAATCTATTTTCTTCCCGTACCCACACCCCGGAGTTTATTTTTTTTCGTCTTTACGTTTCTCGTCCGACCTTTTTTTTTTTTTTTATTTATTTATTACGTTAATTATTTCAGTGTTTTTATTTAAATACCGTTAAAATTCTACGTTTTATCTGTTAATTACGTGTATAATATTTGTTTTTTTTAATTTTTTGTTTAATTTTTAATTTCTGTCCTCTTTTTTTTTCCTTATTACTTTTTTTCGTTGTTGGGTTGACTGTTTTTATCGGCAGCCATATTTTGTAAATTGTCACATTTTTTAGTTTCTGTATTTTATTTTGTATAGCGTTTTCTTATTTTCCGTTTATAACTTTTCGTTTTTTTTTTTGTGTGTAATTTGTTGCTTTCTTGTCTGTTGTCCTTTTAATTTTGTTTCTTTCTAGTTTTTTGTGAACCTTGTTCACATTTTCTCGTCTGTTCATTTGTTTTGTGTTTCGTTTTATCTGTTTACATTTGTGTTTTTTTTGTTTTTTAATTTTTTTCACACGTCCTTCTGTTTTACTTTCGTCTGTTGATCTTTTTGTTTGTTGGTTAAATTGTTGTCTCGCTGATAAGCGAAACTTTATTTTTACCCCTCTTTTTTTTACCCTCCCTTTACCTTTTTGCCCCTAACCTTGTTTTTTGGCCTTTGTTTGTGTATTTTTGCGAGCCTTTGATTGGGGTTTTCTCCGTCCCTTTTTTTTTCCCCGTGAACTTTAAACTTATTTTTGTCTATTTTTCCTATGGGTGATATTTATTAATTCACCACCTCCCCTTTTTTTATAAAATGGAAAAAAAGGAAAAGAATGCCGTCTTTTTAATGAAAAAAAAAAGAATCCAAAATGGCCAATTTTAAAAATCGGTCAAAAACATATGTTCTCAATTAAAAGTTTATATATAGGTATATATATATACCACATTACATTGAAGAATATATAAATATATATTTATACTTTGTCGTCGACATGAACTTTCAATAATTTGTTCGTTCAGACGTACAATCAATTTGATAAAGACGCTATGGCTTTGTATTTTCTCCTTCTTCCCTTTTTTGGTCCTCTATCTACATAGAGATTGGGTCTTGTTTTGAACGAAGAAAGGTCATAAACGAAGGAAGTCATCTTGACAACAAACGCAATGATCTTCTAAGAAAGGTTGCAATATATTGACCAACTACGCTTACGTGGCATTCATCCCAATTGGAATTTTGGTATTTTTAATTTTAATATCCTAGTAACTTTCGACCAGAACAGCACGCGAGAATATGTCACATAGGGAGAAAATTTGTATCTACTGACACCGAGGTTTGAGTGTGACACTGTGGCTTATGAATATATTTTCCAGCAGGTGTATAAATAGTGATATCAGTCTACTGACTGCAGTGATTATTGAGTGACTATTGAGTGGAACTATCCAGTCAAATTAGTGTGAATTTAGATTGCGTCGATGATTTGAGTTTTGATTTAATATTTACCGGACGTTGCTCCCCAAAAAGTATAGAGGTCAAAATAGCCAAAATATGAAAAAAAAATACAGAGGCCAATAATAATAACAAAAAAAATGCTGAAGCAGGGGCTACCCTGTTGTTGGAAGTCCCCCTAAATGCATTATCAATATTACAGAGTTTTTGGATAAAATGACAGTTACAGCTCACCTTGTGGTAAAGGTGGACTCTTGGAAGACCCCAGAACTTAAGAAATTCAAAAAAACTGTACGTGTCAGTCTTCGTGAAAAGACAAAGCGTACGCTTAAATTTTCACTAAAAGAAAGACAAAATGGTAAAATCACTTCAGTCCCTGGAGAATACCCCGCATCAGGCTTCTTTATTTGAGCCATATTAGTCGTAAAAAGATCCTGTAAAAAGGCACGTGTGGGGAGCTGATCATTCAAAAATCTATTCCTGTGGACGGAATACGAAGAGAAGGCGTAGGCAAAAGAGCTCCCCGAAAAGGTCTTCCCCAGGTTTTCTGGGGAGCATCTTGCTGCGTTCCTTTCACAATATGTAGAGAACTGGGTACCACCTGCGAGAGCCCTGATCGGAAAATGGAGTTTTGAGCTCATGTTATACCCAAAAAGTATTCATCTTCATCCCAACTGTCTGGAAGTTGGGGCCAAAAAGACCTTCAATGAAAAAACACCCCGACCGGCCGAAGACCAACTCTCAACTGGCAAAAGATCCCAGCCCACCCAGACAAGCTCCCTTACACCCTCTTGTCAAACTCCCAGTTCTTCGCCCAGTAAAAATCCTGAAATGCCTTCATCTTCCAAAAAGACAGAGAAGTCCTTCGGTAGAGGCTAAAAAAAAAAGGAAAAAAATTTAACAAATATTCATATAATTTAGGGGAGGATGTCTGCCGCATTCCTCCGGACCAGGCTGAAATTATGGCAATAGGTTTAAAGAACTGAAATACTTTTGTCCGTTCAAAGGTACAGGGACAAAGATGTGGAAGACCAAAAAACTTCCCAAATGCAGAAAAAGTGCTGACGGTCATCTGAAAAGGATGGGGCGCGGCAGACGTGGGGCATGGTCGAGGAAGCCATCAATTCATTTACAATGTCACCCCAATTGCCATCGTCGAAAACGATCAATTAAATAAATTGAAACAGTTTTGTTCAGGGAGGGTCTCAGTTTTAGTTCACCGCTCCCTCGAATAGAGCTTTAAAATTGACTTATCCCTGAAATATAGGCGGTCTATCCCAATACGATACAATCAAGACTGAGATGGGCCAGGGTCAATAGGGAAGGCTGTCGGTATCCTTACCCCTACCATGTTCAAACCAGATCCCAACCCTAATCGGTCTGATAATGGCTCTCTGTTTAGGAACTTTGAATCCTCGGGGCCTGAGGTCGGAATCACGATCTTCAGCGTCACGAGGGTGGATCTATGTTGTCTGCAGGAAACCTGGTTTTCAACTCATGACAGTGAAGACATTCTGTCCATGAATTTTGCCCTCTATTCAGCGTGTTTTGATGGACGCTCGAGGGGGTTTCCCGGCTAGTGATCAAGTGAATGCGGCGTGTGCTCTTGTCTTCGCGGATCTGGTGGGCAGGCTTTGCGGGCTCGATATTACCATAAAGGATAAGGCTCTTTGTCTCGATGGTTTATGCGCCCAATGATCATGCGTAGCGGCCTGATTTGTTTCGGCGGATCGGAGCCGTTTTTTGATAACATCTCGTTCAGTAGTTCTATCGGGTGATTGGGTGCCGTCCTTGATCCCCAATATAGATCGTATAGGTGAAAAATCCGGGTACTAACAACCCGGGTGTTAAGCCGTTTCAGGATTTTTTCGACGGGTTTGATCTTGTCGATAAGTATCGAAATGAGCATCCCCGGGAGATGGCGTCGATTTGGACTGAGTGCCAGCTCAGGTTCGGTGGTGCGTTCAAGCTACATCGAGTTCTAGTTTTTAGACTTTTAGGCTGTCCAAGCTTCCATTTTATAGTTTACTCGGATCAAACTTGCCCAGGTTCGTATAAACTTAGAGAAGCCTAACGTTAAAATGGCTGGCTCCTGGAAATTGAACGCATCATTATTTGGTGAGCAAAATTTCCGGGACCAGCTTCTTTAATGTTACAGTGAGAATTGACGGGGTTGTGGTTGGGAATAAGTTGTGGGACTAGGGCTATTTAAAATCCAAACTTAGTTCTTTTTGCTGCTGATTTTAGTCGCCAACTCAATCTAGCAGGATTAGCAGCGCAAAAGGCGTGCGAAGAGAAAGTAGAATTGGCGATCAAATCCCGTGATAGTGGGAGCGTTTATGGCTAGCTAAGTTTAATGTTAAGATAGAAGATGACCTCCCTTTTCTCCATCTCCCAATTTGGCCGTGTGCCACATTTTGCAAATAATATACAACTAAATATTGGAATTAAATGAAGGTTTAAACATGATTGCGACGTGTTTTGTTTATTTTTAAGATATCGAGAAGAAATTCTCAGCGGAAATATTCTTTTTTTTTTTTTTTTTTTAATTCCAAGAATTTTAAAACGATTTAGTCGATTTTCTTATTAATTTTCTTCTATTCTTTTTTGTTGAAATTCATTTTATGATTTTTTTTAATATGTCGTTTTCTTTCAGTTTTTCTATTTTTTCATTGTCAGCTTTAAGCAGGCAAACTTAAATTTTTTTTCCGGTGTAACAAAGCTTCACCAGTTCTCTTTTATTATATATATATATATATATATATATATTTATATAACAATATATATATATATATATATATTTATATTTATTAACAATGTTATGTGATTTATATTATGTATTAGTATATATATATATATATATATATATATATATATATATATATATATATATATATATATATATATATATATATATATATATATTGTTTGCAATGGATAACGGCTCAGATTGATGAATCGGAGAGCCGAGTTCGAATTCAGTCGAATCCTTTACAGTCACTTAAGGAAAAGCACGAATCCTCTTCTTCCCTCGACAGCTATGGACAGACCGGGTTCTATAGGAACTGGTCTACCGCAGAAAATATATATATGTACATACAAGAAATGGCAACCTACCGCGGGAAAAAAATCTGCCTCGTCAATCATGTTTCGAAAGATACATTATCGCCTAAGCGTGTATAACTGATAGATGGGATAGATAGATAGATAGATAGATAGATAGATAGATAGATAGATAGATAGATAGATAATAGATAGATAGATAGATAGATAGATGGTCACTCGTATTCGAGGATACTCGTCTCGCTCATCTGCGTTTTGTTCACCACCCAGATGTGGTTTATACTGCAATTATGCTGAGCAGACCTTAGTTATGGTTTCTGGAAGAGGCATGTTATCTAGCGTGATCAACAATTTGAACAAGGCTAACAGACTCAAACCCTCGGTCACGATGACTTGTGACTTCGTGCTAACATGGGTATCGACTGTCCCTCAGTGCTCCGCCTACCCAATTTCATTCCAATGTACGTTGGGGTCATCCCCTCAGATAACATCATACATAAAATAGGGAGTTAGGTCCCAATCACCCTGTATAGTATTTTCAATAATTTGAGTCATAAATAATTTCGGATAGTGTTTGTCAACTTTATTCTTTAAAAAAGAATATGTTATATTCACCATTAATTGCAATGACTGGTGTCATTTATCAGTCAAATCTTAGAATTTGACTGAAATTCCTGCAGGGATTTTTTTGTGCTTAAATTCTTCGGCTATCTCTGGAATCTGATTTTTCATGAGGAGGCTTTCCCCGTGATGGTGTATGTTGGCGCGATAAAAAAAAAATATACTAATTGATTGGTGCTGGGTCAAGTATATATGGCAACTGGAAGAAGAGCAGACCGAACGAGTTTCAAATTTTTCTGTATTATTCCAGTTTTATGAAAACCTTGCATTATCATCGAGGGGAATTTCTTTTCTTTTTTATTTTTTTGCTTTGTTTTTTGTTTATATGTGTGCGTTAATAAATCTACAAATACCTACGTTTTGTGTGTGCGACTCTAGTTTCGCTGGGCCACATGCTCCTTTTACCGTGAATGTCGTCGTGCTCTGAAACGCCTCTTATGGGCGTCGGATGGCTTCTCAACGTCCAGGCGTAAGGCATTATATCAGGTGTTAGTTAAGGGGGTCCATTCTGATGAACTGATTGACTAGCTCGGTCTTACGAAGCAGGAGTCTCGCTCGAAGAATGGCCTTGTCAAATTACCCATCAGCAAAAATTACCCAGTAAAAATTCGGCGTATGTTAAAAATAGACAAGAAAAATTAAATGAAAAGAACGAGGAAAAAAAAAAGGTTCCACCATATAATTGTAGACGTTGCAACGAAAGACACTGGGAGGTAAATTGCCCATATAGAAATAAAAAATTTTCGTGTGCCACAAGAATGGACACAAAGGATCGTGTTGTAAAACGAAAAAAAAGTCAATAGCCGAATTAGACAAACAAAAAAATATAAAATCAGATAGAGATTTGAGGAAATATTTGACGACTGAAATATTTAAAAAGAATATCAAATTTCAACTCGATTCGGGTTCAGATTTAACAATAATGGACTATAAAACATGGAAAATTTTAAAAAGGCCTACAATAATGAAGTCAACGAAATGCGCTCGAACAGTAACTGGAAAGGAAATTAACTTCGAAGGCGAGGTTGTACTTCCCATGAAATTGAACAGGATAGTTAAAAAAAAAAAGTTTTCATTCTGAAAAATGGAGAAAACTTGATGGGTACAGATTTTATTGAAACATTCGAATTGTGGGATAAACCGTTAAACTCATTCTGCAGAAAAGTAGAAAGTAATACGCAAACAAGACAGGACATTAAAGAGGAATTAAAAAAAAAACCTTTCTTGGAAGAAACAAAGTTTGAAGCCAAATTCAATTACCTGAAAATCTTGGAAATTTTAAAAAGAAACGTAACGTGCCTTTCGCAAGTGTAGAGAAAATTAACGAAGAACTTGATAGGTTGGAAAAAATGGGAATTATTTCGAAAGTAGAATCTAATTCATGGGCTGCGCCGATTGTGTCATAAAAAGAAATCAAACCAAGTCAGAGTCTGCGTTGATTTTTTCGACAGGGTTGAACTCGGTAATTAAGGACTACCATTACCCGTTACAGAGTCCGGAGGAGATTTTAACAAGCTAAATGGTGGAGTTATATTTTCAAAAATCGACTTATCAGATGCCTATCTCCAAATTCCCGTCGAAGAGGAATGTTATAAAGTTACTAAGGGATAAACACGCATAGAGGGTTATTCAAGTACAACAGGCTTCCTTTTGGTATTAAAGTGGCACCAGCCATTTTTCAACAAGCTATGGACGTCATGTTGAATGATTTAGACTTTGCATGCGCCTACTTAACAGACGACATCATAGTAAGGAGCGAAACCGTCGACGAACATCGAGAGCATTTCAATCAAGTATTTAAAAGATTCAGGACTTTGGTTTTAAAGTCAAAGAGTCAAAGTGCGAATTTGGTTTGGAGGAAATTAAGTATTTAGGTCACATAATCAACAAAAAGGGCAGATTTCCAGATCCGGAAAGGTCCATTGCGATTAGAGACATGCCGACGCCCACTAATGTGGCGATGCTACAAAGTTTTCTGGGGCTCGCAAATTATTATCAAGCGTTCATTAAAAGGAATGTACAATCTAAGAGCTCCGTTGAATGAACTGCTAAAAAAGACAAGGCATGGGAATGGACGGTAGAATGTCAGAAAGCCTTTGATGAAATAAAGAAAATGCTTACGTCCGACCTCTTTTAACCCATTACAATCTAAAATTGGATATTGTAGTGGTAAGTGACGCCAGTTCATACGGGATAGGAGCGTGTATTCAACACATAATACCAGATGGTTCTAGAAAACCAATTGCACATGTTTCGAGAACTTTACTCCCAGGAGAAAGAAGTTACTCACAAATCGAAAAAGAGGCGTTGAGTATCATTTTTGCCATAACAAAATTTCACAGATACATCCACGGCAGACATTTTATGCTTGAAACGGATCATAAACCACTGATCACTATTTTTGGTTCAAAGAAAGGGTTACCCGTTTATACGGCAAATCGTCTGTTGAGATGGGGAACCATTCTTCTCAATTATGATTTTTCACATAAAGCACCTATCATCCAAAAATATAATTCATGCGGATAGTTTATCAAGACTCGTACCGAGTCAAGAAGAAAGATTCGAAGAATCAATTATTACCAAATATCAGAGCAGATTATGAGGTGAAAAGCATGGTAAACAACATTGTCTAAGAGAAGCTACCGGTTACACTAAAAGGAAATTAAAAAAGAAGCTGAAAGCGATGATTTCATTTAGAAATAAAAAGCAAAATGGTAGCAAATGACCAAAAAGTGCAGGAGATTTATTCAATAGGTGACGGAGTTTTATTATATGGTGAGAGAGTAGTAGTACCAAAAAAGTTGCAGAAAAGAATACTTCGGGACTTTCATATGGGTCACCCGGGTATTAATAGAACAAAAAGCTTAATGCGAAGCTTTTGTGTATTGGAAAGGAATGGATGTGGATATCGCAAACATGGTTCATCGATGTAAAATGTGTGCGTTAGCAGCTAAGGCACCACCTATAGTACACAAACCATGGCCCAAGACGGATCATCCGTGGACAAGATTACACATTGATTTCGCTGGTCCAGTAGAAGATTTTTACTACTTAATAGTGGTAGATAGTTTTACAAAATGGCCGGAAGTACTACGCTGCAAAAAGCCTACGTCCAAAACCACAACAACTTTTTTGCATGAACTATTTTTGGTTCGGTGTGCCAGAGTGTATTGTGAGTGACAATGGTACACAATTCACTTCTGAAGAATTTAAGGAATTTTGTGAGTTATATCAAATTAACCACATAACGACGCCGCCGTATCATCCGAGGTCCAATGGACTCGCAGAAAGATTTGTCGATACTTTAAAGCGCGCTTTGAAAGAAAGCCTCAGGAGTTCCAACGGAAAAGGCGCTTCAGCAATTCTTACAAGTATACAGAATCACGCCAAACCAGAGAACACACTCAAACATGGCACCAGCTGAACTAATGTTCGCTAGGAAAGTTAAATCAGTGTTTGACAAACTTTTGCCAGGAAAAAATAAAGTAAAAAAAATACTATGTATACAGCGAAAAAAAGATACACCTCCGGAGAGAAGGTGTTTTTCAAGCTGCTAAAAAAACAACGTTGAGTTCTGGGAGCGAGGCATAGTGGACAAGAGAATCGGTGACCTGATTTACATAATTAAAGGGCCGAAGAATACTCATAAAAGGCACCAGAACCAACTTAAAAAATGTTACGTTATAGAGCATGAAGAGAGTATACCGGATGAGGAGGAAGATCCCATTGATATAATGTATGATATGTTTCAAGTAGAACCTCCGCAGAATTTCCTGAACCAAGAAGATCCGGTAGGAAACGAAAGTTCACGGACCCATTGGACGTGAATCCAAAATGGAAAAAAATTAAAATTAAGCGGATGGACAAATTGAAGGCAAATGGATCTACAAAGAAATAGCCATAATCATCAACCCATATAGGAAGCCAGTTTGAAATCCAAAAGGGATTCCAAGGCTTGGGAGGGGGGTGTTGTGGTTGGATCCACCTAATTTACATAGTGGAGTACCGACCATATAAATATGGTTGGTACCGGGAAGAAAGGAAGGAGTCAAGAGATTAAACCAGAGACTCTGCCCGACTGCGACTCAGTCAACACATTCTCCAGGAACGGTCTTCCCAGGAATATACAAAAGACTATATGTAAATATTGTGTACACTTTTCTTGTTTCAATACATTTTGTTCTAAGTACTTTTGTGTTGCATTATTATTCCATGCATTAGTCAAGTTTCAACAATATATAATTTTATATGCGCAGTACTTAGTAGAAAGCGCTCAATATCAGTGATAGAGCTAACAGATTCAGTTGTATGGATATGAGTTTAAACCCCGGGTTTTACGCTTTTAGGATCACCAGATAAATTAGTTTATTTTTTGAAATTGGACCTATTTATGCTTGTTTGACTATGTTTGGTGGAGTACGCATTTTATTTCACAAAACACATATAACTAAAAAAAGGAGGCTTGGCGCAGATACACATCCATACGTTCAGGTGTACATACATACGAAAAAGTTGTAATTCTATTTCGGTGTCGAGATCTTAGCTTTTATTATATGTAGCAATGTTCCTTTGAAAACAAGGAGCCTGTAGGGGTGTT